TATATATATATATATATATATATTGTGCGTGTGTATATATGTGTGTGTGTATACATATAATAATACAATAATGAATTAAATACGAATATGTACATTTAAAATGAACACAGACTTCAAGCTCTAAGTCTCTGCGCAACAGACACGAAAGACCACAATATGTTACTCATTCTTTCAAGTTTGACAAATGCAAGTCTCAAATATCACCAGAATATCAGAGTAAGTGATACTCTCAATTATTTTAGATCGCCATAACAAATGTAAAATGTAAGAAGTCGAATATAAAAAATTATTAGTGTCGTTAACAGATGAGACTAGGCAATGAGGAGTTACATGAAGAAGATAACTGATCGTAAAGGAAATCTTGAAGACTATTCTTTTCTTTATTTTTCCTTTTCTTTTAAGTATGACTAAATAAGACTGGGAATAACTCTGCACGCTCGTTCGGATATTGAAGTTTAGATGTTATTTTGAATGTTAGTACAACGGGCCAAGATAGAGAAAATTTGTGCCAGCCATATTGAACAACACTTGTTGCAAGTCGAATCACTTACTCTAATCTTCTGGTGCTCCGTGGAACACATAGATGTTTCACTCATTCGTTGAAGCATATACTGCAAATCATGAGACATGTATTGATGAATGGTAACTGATCGAGGCGCTATCGTTATTGCCATCGATCCTATTTTAAATACGAAAAAATAATCTCTTCCTACGAAAATGCATGTAAAATCTCATAAAACGTTATATCAAATTCGATTCTACCTTCCCCTTTAATTTCAAAAGTTATTGGAAAATTTATTTTTTATTTTGTTATTATCCTGTCTGAAAAATCTATTTTTTTACATTTCTGTTTTAAAATATTTTATATGTTTCAAAGATAAAGAGATATTCTATGTTATTTGTTTTATTAAAATTATGAATTTAAAACTAAAGTGGGCTTTTCAATTACTTATAACGAATCACAAGTTAATAGACATATGTGTGAAACAAAACGAAACAATCACATGATGAAGAAATATATGAAATATCCCGCTAGATATACAGGTATAAATACGTATTAATAACAATTGTGTGTAAAGTTATATTAGTTATAAAATAATAGACTCTACCTTTTGCCAGGGATGTGATTTAATTTGTGGAAATTTGAATTCAGTGTAGTTGGGGTTCATCTCACGTATCTGATCGCGCGTAGGCGTACCGAGGACTTTGATAATCTCTACCAGTTGATCGACACCGCTATCACCGGGAAATATTGGTTGACCTAACAGTAGTTCTGCTAGCACACAACCTGCACTCCAAACATCTGTCGAGGAAATGAGAAAAATGTTACATTAAAAGAAACGTTACATATTTTACAACAAAATAAAATATAAAAGAAGCATAAAAACGAATTAATGTATTTTTATTAAATCTTGCTATGAATATTTTAACGATTTTTCTTTAATATCAAAATATTTAGATATCTGTTAGATAATTTTTATGAACATATTCAAATTCCAAATTAGAGGTCAAAAAGAAATAAACAGTACAGTCACAGTGATAAACTTCTTTCAAATTTATACCTATTCCCAACAATGTAGATTAATTAAGATCTTTCTAGTTCTTAGAAAAAGATAAGAAGTAAGTTGAATCAAAAATAAAAATAATTTACATTGTGGAAACAGGACATAAATATGCTATATTACACAAAGATCGTTATTAAGATTTTTAATATACCAATTTTTGTAGTATAATCAATAGCACCAAAGATGAGTTCAGGTGCGCGATAGTAGCGACTGCAGATATAGGACACATTTGGTTCGCCCTTCACAAGGTGTTTAGCTGAACCAAAATCGCATAACTTCAAGACACCAGTATCCGGATCTAGCAGCAAATTCTGTGGTTTGATATCCCTGTGACAAATACCCAGCGAGTGGATGTACGCCAACGAACGGAACAGTTGATACATATACAACTGCAAAGAACAAAGAAAAGATTATTATCTATAGCTATATATATCTGAAAATTTATTATCTATAGCTCATTAAATTTACAAAACACATTTTTTGTATTATATCTTTATAAAAATCTTTATAAAATTTTTTTCAAATTCTCTCTACAGTTATTTCTAAGTTTTTGAAACCACTAATTACAAATCTGAGATCAGAATAATAATAAAGTTAAAATGACAGATTTTTGACACCTACAAATCTTATAAATTAAAATCTCAAATTTATAATTCGTGATTTCAAAAATTCTTAGATATTGAATATTATATGAAAAGAATGTTTCCTTTTTATGTAATCAGAACTACATATTATAACATCTATGAGATCATCTTCTAAAAATTAATTGAAAAATCAGTAGGTTTACAAACATAATTTCTGTTTTTATTATATTACGAATTTAGAAATAATTAAAAATTAAAAACTAATAAAAAATAATTCACCTTGATGAAACTGATTGGTATCGTCTGCTTGCTTTTGCTATAATGTCGAGCGACTTTGTACACAGTTTCGGGTATGTATTCCAGCACTAGATTAAGATAAACCTCGTCCTTCTAAAAAAAAGAAAGAAGAAATACGAAAATTCCATTGTATGTAACCTTCATTCAACAAGCGAGGGTCTGTTTACAAATATTTGTCGTCTCAAAGGCACACTACTCCAAAATCCAAACATTGACGACGTACTCAAATATGTAGAGTTTCCCGCAATTCGCGCGTGACTAGAACTTTAATAATAAATTCTCTCTAATTAATCAATAGCAAAAAAATAATAATTTTGAACTATTTCCACAATCTTTGAATTCCACATCTATTCTTTTATAATTTTATCTTCTAGTTTTCAACATTGCACGTTTATTTTTGTAAATAGATCTGCCAATCAAGAATTAAAAATTATTAGATATAATTATGTTATTTATATAATATGTAGAAGTATTATAAATAATTATTTTATTTATTTATTCACTCTCATATATGAAAACTTTCTTTTTTTCATGTTATTAGGGTCCTAGAATTTACAATAAAATACACTAAAGTTCCACCAGGATCTATGATTAAAATTGTAAAATAATTGTAGCAAATTGTGGGATACCCCGTGGGATCATTTAAGTTATACATTTCATCTTTATTATTTCTCTTGGACACACACATCGATGCCCTGGTGTTATTAACATTTATCACACACGCCTTCAGAAACATTACGTACTAACAAGACTAGCGAAGCAGCGTAATCTAATCGGACCCAGATTGACATTAAAATAATGACGTTTCGAAGGAATGATACGATTGTGAAGATGTTCCTATGTGGAAGCGATAATTCGCCTAGAGATTTTTTCTCGCCAAAAGGAAGATTCTCGTACTACTACTGGGTGCACTTCAACTTACGTCAACGTGAAAAACCGGATTAGTCGCGGTTAAGATGTTCTATAAAATAACATAACAATGTGGCATGCATTAAATGAACATCTTTCGTTTTATTTATAGAAACGTGTCATTTACGTAACAATGATAAAATTGATAAATGCGTGCTAATCAAATCATGTACCGCCATTTAAATTACATACTGCGTATAATTTTTTCGCAAATTTTAATAAATTGATATAATTATTGAAATATCTCTTAAATAATAGATAGTGAACTCATCTTCACTTAAAAGTTAAGGAAGATGGAGATGAGATAGTTACCTTATCACCACTAGAATAAAAGAAATATTTGAGTTTCACAATATTGCAATGTTCGAGGCGTCGCATAATTTGTAATTCCCTGTTCTGGAAAAAAAAAGTTTTATTATGACATTAGTCTCATCGTTCATTAAATAAATGAAATAAACAAGAAAATAAGACAAATTAAAATAAAAAGTAAAACAAAAATAAGAAAAATATCTAGTAAAATCATAAATATATAATAAAAAAGTAGAATAGAATGTAATCACATCAAATTAAATAAAACACAATGGAAATAAGAACGTAGTTAGTGTAATATAATAGTAAGTTGCTTCAGTACATTATTTAACAATTATTAACTTATGGTAGCTGTTACTATGTTCTATATACATTTTTATTTATTTCATTATTTACATCGACACAATGTATAAATGCTCACCTTAAATCGTTTATCCTGGAGAACCTTTTTGATAGCAACCATCTCTCCCGAATCGCAGAGTTTCGCTTGGTATACCACACCAAAGCTGCCGTTGCCTATGACCTTGGTATCGGTATACGCGACTTCCTGAGGACGATCCGGACCAGCACCAGGAGTCGCTACTACAGTCGTTACCTTGCTGCCATCCTTGCCTGCAGGGTACATTGCACCACCCATAGAAACAAATTTGAAAAAACCACAATGCAGGAAAAGAAATAGAAACAAAAGTAGGAAACCGAACTTCCTCTAAAAGCAGAAAACGCCTAGAGCCCTCTAGAATCGAGGAAAGTTTGCTCCTATTTTACATAAATCTAAATAAGCAAAATTATCTTCACATCAACAATAATTGTCTTAAAACATTTATAACAAAATGCAACATTTGGTTTGCAAAATGTAATTTATTAATATAAAGAAATTAAATTAATATACACTATATCAGAATCATTTTTATATTATTATTTTGTGAAATGTTTCTCTCTCTTTTTCAAATTTCTCTCTGAGAGCTTTATATTTCGCAGAAATGTAAAAACATATAAAGCATATAAAGTGATTACATATAAAGCACACATACATACACACACATATCGTTACAAGTCACAAATCTAGAAAGCATTCTATATAAATTACAACACAACAGATCCACAACAGATCCACGTCGCTATTTTAACATGTAATTCTTGGACTGGGCCAGAAATAATTTAATTTAATTAAATATTAAATTAATTGATTTGTTTTTGCTATACTACTAATAGTTTCGAGCCTTGCAACTCGTAAATGATGTATGCGTAGTATATGCAGATTATTCAAAGAAATTGTCAAAATTTACAACTATTCGGCAATTTTATGTCCTCCAACATTAATATCTCGAATAGATTCTTTAATGAGAAACTCAGGCAAAGTAGTCTGTTGACAATTCCTTTTATCGTTCAAAAAAAAAAAATAAATGTGTATAGATTACATAAAATTGAACGAATATATACAAGTACATTGAAAAATGTTTTCCATCATCAGAATTATCAGAAAGGCAATTATTAGAATACGTGTAAAATAGCCTTGATAGAATCTGAACAAATGTAAATGATTGCAAACAACTGGTTCTGTTTCCGTTGCAATGTAAACTCTCTCAAAAGGCTCGCGCAAATACATATTTTCACAGCAAAATTTTTATTATCAATAATTATCCTAGCTATTAAAGGTATCCATATTTTTTAATTACGTCATACTTTTCATAATATCTTTCATCTGTTGTTAAAAAACGGGTGCTGGGAATATGTAGGTTATTTTAATAACATATTACAAATATCATAAGAAAATGTTGACTCATAGACGAGATATCTAAAATTAGCTCACTACACTAGATGTGGCAAAGTGATCATGATGTAATTAATGAATATCATATTAAAAATGTTTATAGAACTATCATACTTTAATATAAATATTTAAAGATATATTGTCTACTTAATCAATATAATAAAAAAAGTATAAAACATGATAGAAGGGCTACATTTTACTCTTTATAAGGTAAAAAAATGGACAACAGATTTAAGTAACGAAACATAAGAAATTTTTTATAATAAAAAATCAAATTATTAAAGATTAATATCATAATAATAATTATATGTTTTAATATAAAAAATGTGATAATAGATTTACTTAAAACTTAAATCTAATGATTGTATGTACATGATGTATAATAATTTCATCATCACTTTAACAATAGAAAGAGGTTAAATAAACTTAATTTCTATAAAAATTATATTTGGTATTGACAGAAAGTTAGAATATCTTTAATTGAGAATTATTAATTGAAAATAAAGAATCACCTTCTTTTGAGTTCGAAGGTGAGTATGAGGCTTCTGATTTATGAATACATCGAACAATCACTTTCCACGTGGATGTCTTATCTTCTGACATATTAGATCTATTTTTTATTACTGCACTCTGTGAACTGGTGCACACGGTGAAGTAAGTTGAAGTGAGACAAATATTTATTTCATTTCAACTTATTGCATTGTGTACATCACTTCAGAGAGCAGCAATAAAAAACAGATCTATTCACAACATTTTTTACTATCAATTATTTACTATCAACTAGAGACTGAAGATCGCGAATATATCATTCGTTTTGTCTATTTCATGAGATTAATATCAATTAGATTTTGATGTTCAATGCAAAATTTTTTGTAGATAATTAATAAGTCTATTCTTTATCGATGAACTTTTTGAACTCGTGCAAATTAGCGCAATAAAATTGAAAAGAAATATAATTTGTTTCACATATTTCAATTTAGATATTACATCGTGTGCATCAGTTGAGAAGTTTTTCGATAAAAAACAGACTTTATAATAGAATTCATTTATAATTGTGTATGTTTAATTGTAAATATAATAAGTCATGGAATTTATATATCGTTCATTAATTACGGCGAGATGCCGAATGACAAACGATTTAATAATAGTAACTCATTTTGAAATGTAGGTTACATCGTACGCGAGAGGCACATGATTATCATCGACAGATACGAAAATCTTGTACTTGTCGCCGGTTTATCACGAGAATTGAACAGTGTGAAGTAAGTTTGAAAGAAATCTTGTTTCTACGAAGCACCGCTACATTGGCAAGATACTGAGTGTGTCTCATCGGCTAAATTAAATCATGATGTGTAGAAGATATTCTAGGAGAATATGTTTAGAAAAACTAAATAGATATAAATA